TATAGGCTCCAAATAACTGGACCGATTTCAAAAATTCTTTCACCTACGGGGAGCTACATCATATGCGGTGGGCATAGGCTACATTTTTGTCTCGAAAAACAACAAACTAAGGGATGAAAATAGGAGTGGAATAAATATTGAATTGTTTGTTTCTTTGTATTCAATGACCTTTAAAGCTATTGGACTTATTTTTACTTAAAAAAAATCGCCTACGAGAAGCTACGCGTATTTACCTACATTGTGTAGAACCGGTATCAGGCAAGAAAGATTTCAATGTTCACTCGAAGAGTTTGACAGTTTGGCATTTTATATTATGGATGGCTAGATGGCATTAATATTACATTTATAACTATTATGTGCCATAATATATGTGCGCAGTAGCGCATTCAGTTTGCGATAAATTTATGCAAGTTATGGGGGCTGGTCATAGGATGAGTGACCAAAATGTTTTTAAATGATAATCATCAAAATAATGATCATAGAGAAAAAAATTGTGAGTATAACACTGACAGTTTAAAGAAGGTACAACTACGTAAGGGAAATTGAAGAAGTTTTCACTACTTTCCTCGTATTTTCTATGTTTTCTCACCTTTTAAACCTGCCCTGGGTAACGACAAATATTTCGAAATCAAAATCAGCTGCACTGGCCCAGTGGTTCTCTGGTTTTAGCGAGACAAACGAACGGCAATTGATTTTTATATATACATCAATAATATTTTATATTTAAAATTATAAATAAAGCCATCAAAAATCGTATTAATAACATTCCCCAACATTTTTAATTTATATCTGTTAACAAATAACTTCTTTTAATATAAAAGGAAGTTTCCAAGTGAAATTTTTCAGAAAATAGATTGAAGCGGAAATTTGTTCCAAGTAACGAGTATTTATTAAGTCCGGGCAGAGACGATGAGACGAATAGCTCTGAAAATAGTTTCATAGCCGTGGAATGGAGCCGCACAGAAACTTTTCAATTATATTAAATATTACCATGAATTTCTTTGAACGTCTAACATACCAGTGCTGTATTCGAACACTCAATTATTTTACGTTTATATAGATTTCGCATTTAAAGCTTTTTTGGGTCTCAATTTCAACATGTGTCTACTGTTTAAGCCGATTAAGCCAGAGTGGGGCCTGTAGCAAATTTTTTTGAGCACCCCTCGCCCCTTAGTTTGCTTGAGTTAATTAAGTGTATACTTAATTTAATTTTTTTTTTTTTTTTTTTTTTTTTTTGTTCTTATCTGCAATCAGTCTCGAACTATAAGCAGATCCGTTCCCTGGCTTTCATTATGTACAGGAAGCTCCTCAGTAGGAGGTTCCTCGTCCTTCACCATCTATTGCCAAGATTTTGTATGTCATGGCGTCGTAGTCGTTTAATGTAGCTGATCGTCGCTAACTCGGTAGCTAGGTCGTTTGGATGATTTTCTAGTCGCGTTATATACTTATTTCCTGTCAGCTTCAATTCCTCTTTGACAGTTCTTATGTTCAGAGCTTTATGGATCTCAGAGTTAGTGATAAACCATGGTGCATTTGAAATAGTTCGCAGGATGCCATTTTGCATCCTTTGTATTATGTTTATATTGGAATCGCTAGCACTGCCCCATAGTTGTGCCCCATACATCCATATTGGTTTCAGGATCATCTTGTATATAAGCAACTTGTTGTCAGTAGCCAATTTAGAGTTACGTGCTATTAACCAGTAAATGTTTCTAAATCGCATACTCAGTTCATCTCGTTTAGTCTTGATGTGCTTCTTCCAGGTTAATTTCTTGTCCAAATGCATGCCCAGATATCGAACAGAGTCACTTTGTGGCAGGACACTATCACCCATTTTTACCGGGGGACAACTACCCCTCCTCAACGTAAACGTTACGTGCACCGACTTAGTTGAACTGGCTTTGATTTTCCATCTCTGTATCCATTCATCGACTTTATCAAGGCTATTTTGTAAGATGGCGGATGCTGTGACCGGATCTTTACTGCTTGCTATAATTGCAGTGTCGTCAGCGAATGTAGCTGTAGTTACCCCTTGCGTTTCTGGAAGATCAGCAGTGTAGATACTATATAAGACGGGGCCAAGGACAGATCCCTGTGGGACTCCCGCCATTATTTCTTGAATATTAGATAGTTCTCCATCTTCTCTCACTTGGAATATTCTGTTAGTGAGATACGACTTCAACAACAGGTAATAACTATGCGGTAGCGACGTTTTTATTTTATAAAGAAGGCCTTTATGCCACACTTTATCGAAGGCTGCCTGGATGTCCAAAAATACAGCGGAGCAATATTCCTTTTTCTCAAAAGATCCTCTGACCTTATCACACACCCGGTGCACCTGTTCTATCGTGGAATGTTGTTGCCGGAATCCGAATTGATGTTGTGGTATTACCAGGTTTTGATTAAGTATGGGTGATATTCTGCTCAGGAGAACCCTTTCAAACATCTTAGACAGCACAGGCAGGAGGCTAATGGGTCGGTATGATGTCGCATCTTCCGGAGGCTTTCCTGGTTTGTGTATCATTGTTACTATAGATACTTTCCACAACCTGGGAAAGTATTGCACTCGGAGCACACCATTAAAGAGAACCACTAGAAAAACCAATGCTTTCCTGGGAAGTTGCATGATAACTTCTTTTGTGATGAGGTCAAATCCAGGAGCTTTTTGTTTTGTAGTCCATTTATGGTTCTCTTCAGTTCCCCAATTGTGACAGGTCTTGGTGGAATGGACAGTTGTAAGTCCTGTTTCAATGTATGTTCGACTTCATGTTCAAACTCAGCATTGTTGCCTTCGTTAGGTGTAAAAATGGCGGCTAGGTGTTTTGCAAACATGTTAGCTTTTTCTTTGCTAGTCCTAGTCCATCCCGTTTGAGTTCTAATGGGGCATTTATATTGCTGTGGCCTGTCTAATGCTTTTGTGAATTTCCAGAGAGAGTATTCTGTTGATTTTGTGGCAGTTAGAGTTTCTAATTTGTTTTGCAGTGTAGCGCTATTTAATTTGTCAATTGAATCTTTCAAATCTCTGATAGCTCTATTGAGTGTAGTCTTATCACTTTTATGTCTAGTTTGATGCCATATCCTACGTAATCTTCTCTTCTCTAGAATTTTGCGTTTTATCTCAAGAGGCACGTTTCCCACCGCTTGATAGTTAGTTTCTCTTTTTAGGGGAGTGTTAATCCAGGAGGCCTTTTGTATTAGGTTAGTAATGTATTGTGTTGCATCATCTATGTCATCCGGTGTTTTCAAGGAAACTTTTATCTCGATGCTTTCGTTAATGTACCCTCTGAAACCTTCCCAATCAGTAAAACTATTGAACAATGTCTCAGGCTTCTCATGCCTGATTACAGTCGTACTAATAGTTAACAGGACAGAAGTGTGATCTGAACTACTGTCAAGACAACTTTCAGCCTTCATATAATTAGCTGAGAGTCCCTTTATAACAAAGAAGTCTAATAAGTCCGGTTTTTTATTTGGATCTGTGGGCCAGTAAGTTGGTTCTCCTGTTGAAACAGAGGTGAGTCTGTTTTTATCAAGGCTTAGTTTTAGCTGCCTGCCTCTTGTTGTTGTTAGTCTTGAACCCCAGTACGTATTTTTGGCGTTCCAATCACCACCGGCCACAAATCTTCCCCCCAGTGTTGAGAAGTATTCTGTAAAGTCTGTTGCACTTATATTATTATATCTCGGTGGACAATATATTGCTGACAGGTTAAGTTGTCCACAACGGCCTTCTATCGAAATGGTCGTAGCCTGGATATGGTTCATTCTAAATTCCGGGAGTATTTGGTGTTTGATGGAGTTTTTTATTACAATTGCTGTTCCTGCATGGCCCGTACCATCAGGATGATAAGTTATGTAAGTGTTGCATCCTTTAATGTTGATTTTGCTTTTATTTGTACAGTGTGCCTCAGAGATTAAGACAACATCAAGTTGATTGTTATTCATCAGGAGTTCTAATTCAGTCTTATTTGGGGCAAGGCCATTAATGTTCCAAGTGGCCACTCTCAGGGCCGTCATTTTGTAATTTTTTCGACTAGGTTTACTATAAGGCTCATAAGAGTGCTCATTTGTTGTAGGATCATGTCGAATTTCTCGGACTGCCTGATTAATAGTTCTTCTATCTTGCTGTTTATGCTAGCTACAGGAGTTGGTTCGATTTTCATGTGTCTCTTTAAGATGTGGTGTAGTATCTAAAGCAACAGTTTTACTCGGTGCCTCTCGTATTTTTCTCGTAAACAATGGGTTTCTTGCCATTCGTCTTTCTAGGATCTCTTTGTAGACCTCGCATCCTTTGTAGTTGGCTGGATGTGCTCCTTGGCAGAGGGCGCATTGTGCTGGTGTGTTGCGATCTTTTTTTGGACAATCCGATGTTTTATGTCCCTGGGCACATTTCACACAACGGTATGGTCTCATACAATAATTTTTCGAGTGACCGTACTGTTGAGACCTTTGACATTGTGGTAGAGTTACTTTCTTTTTTGGATCTTCGATAGTTATAGACTGGTGATAGATATACTTAATACCTTTCACCGCTGCGTTGTTTGCTCCTGGTTCGATGTTTACAAAGAAAGTAGAGGTTGGTTTTTTTTCAGGTCCAAATTTTGAGTTTATAATTTCCCCGCGAACTTTGTTTCCAGTGTTTTCGATTGCTTCTTTAATTGCACCATGTGGGGGTAGTATGGTGTAGGTTTTTTATTACAACTCTATAGCAACGTTGGTCTTTTAAGGTTAAAGGTATGTCCTATTAAGGCCTTAATTTCGGACTAGAGTGATAATATTTTTGTATATTGCTGTGTCCATGCAGGTTACTCTTAGTTGGTTCCTGTTGACAATTTTTATTGTATAGCTGTCTTTGTCTGCTGTGGACTGCAATAGTTCTACAAGTTTATTAACGTCTTCAATGCCGTATAATATTATGGGTGGTGGTTTATTAGGCCTCTTTTCTGTATTCTTTATCGCAGCTTCTTTGGGGTCTAGGGGTAATCCCTTATATCTATTGCTTGTTATGATTTTTTCAGGCGAAGGGGACTGAAGTTTCTGTCTTTCCGCTTTTGGTTTCTACTTATAGGGATTCTTTGCCAGTCGGGTGGATTTGGTGTTAACGTGTCCTGTACTATTGTAGTAGCAATTTCGGTCGGAGAGATATTTCCCAGCGATGAGCTTCTAGTTCTTACGAACAGTTTAGGGTAGAGTGACTGTTGTACAAGTCGTTTTCCAGTAGTATTCACTAATGCAGAGGCCTGGTTACTCACCTCTACACAGTCTTCGGTAACAGATTTCACACCATGAGGCCCGGGTACCTCATGGCGCCGGGGGTTAGCCGGATCGCATGACAAATCGCATTCTTTATTGTCCATTATTTCATATTAAGGAGGTGGGAAAATAGTAGCAGGTGTTTCCCATGCACCTGCCCTCGGTCTTTTTGAGGATATTTAGTCACTCATGGTCTCCGATAACCACTTTGATGGGTTATTTGACCGCCGCCCATGGCTCGGCGTTGACTATTGTTTTATGGCTATCTTACATGCTTCGATGTTATATAAGCAAGTTTCATCGTTCACAGCCAACCCTCCTCTTTTCTCATTCGGGCTTGGGACCGACAATGGCAGAGTTAATTAAATTTTTTTAATTTAATTAAAACAAAAATCATACAAACACACTTTTCTTGATTTTTAACATCTTAATGTAAAAGTAACCGCCAATACAATTGTTCAAACTCAATTTAAGTTAAGATGTGAATATCAACGCGCTCCTTCTTGTTTTTGAACTTTAACATCGCACGTTATAGTTATTGGCATTCGAAAAATTGTGAGCATTCTTCCAATCGCATAATATATCTTTTGTCATAACGATAACGTATAATCGGAATCAGTAACTTTTCAATCGAAACAGAAAAGTCGTCCTTTGCTTTCCGAATAACAACATAACTTATCTGTGACTTGAGTTTAATTTGCCAGTTTATGTTTTTATTTAAAAATATGCCAGGCCAAATTGTTTCTTTTATTTTTAGTCAGGTTTTGGTAGTCGTAGTTTTCATCTATATTTAATTTTATTATAATAAGACGGATGTGTTCTAAAACATAGGAAATACGGACACAGGGCGTGAAGTCCAGGTATCCTAAACATATTCTCGCTCTTCATTTCTATTTCGAGTTCCTCCGTGGTTCGGAAGGCACGTTAAACCTTTGATCCTGGCTGCATCAATCCGAACTGGGTGTACGTGCTGGGTTATGCCTCTTCTGCCCCAGCACTGGGGACATTAGTTGATGATAATTGTTGCTAGCGCGTTCTTGCTTGCGGATTTTTCGATGAAAAGCTGCTTTTAAGTTCCAATTACAAAAAAAAAAGAATATTATTCTATTGTGAGAATATTATTGTACTATAATACGATTATAATACTATGGTTGAGAAATATTCATAGCCGTTAATTTAAAAATAAAACTCAAACACTTTATGAATAATATTTGAAACAAAATCTTTTAGTGGCCATACACAAACTGTGAATTTTATAAATTGTCGCTTTTGGCTCTTCTGTCTCATAAGGTTGAGAAACCCTGTCTTATGTGATTCTATATAGGAACAGCGTAAACCCCATTATGGCGATGTTAGTAAGACCATGATGATGTATTTTACCGGATAAGCAGAATCTAGAATGAATCTAAAAACAAAATCTGAGGCAAAAGCCTTCCCTAAGGCTATCCTTATCCGATTCTATAATCGAATAGGTAAATGTTGGTATAGTTTATTTTAGCTTTAGAGAAAGCAGAGATAGCAAATAAGCAGAGTCCTAACAATAAATCAGTATATTTTCAGTGACATGTAGTATGACATTTGTATAGTGAAACAAACGCCATCAATATTATCTATGCACGATTTTCACAACGCGCACGCTTGACAAAGTTAGGCATACAACTGATTTATGATACGAACATAGAATAACAGTCGCGGCAGAAGCTACAATGAACTAACGCATGTTTTCACTAACCCAGAACAAGACATAGATTAGCTAGGAAACGCCTAATCTTACAAATCGGCTAAGCAGATTAGTTTTATTCCAAATAAACTTTTTTTTATTGGTTAACACATTTGTGACCTGTCATATAACACAAATGCCTAGCGCAAGGCACCGCATAACGTACGCCATAACTTTAGACACTGCTTAATTTTGTATATATGTAAAAATAATGTTTATGTTTGCTTTTATCACTTAGATAATTTAGTCGTGCTGTATTCAGCTGCAATCGAATTAATATAAATAATATAAATTCAGTCATGACTATGAGTTCCAACAGAGATTAATTTCCTGCTTAAATTTAGTTTTGTCATAGATTTTATTTTATATTGTAAGTGATACGCATAAACCTGGTCCTCAGAATAATACTCATTTCGATCTGGAAACCATATATCATTTATTACTAACGATACGGGAAAAATTGTATATGTTTACTATTATTTAATGAAAAATGGCTAAAGTTTCGTAAAATGACAACTAAAAATTAGCACAACAAATTCTGACATAACACATTTTTTTAATAAATTGTAGTTACTTTATTTAATTTTAATAATTAAAAATAATTTAACAATCTTCTGTCCACTCAAATCATAGTATCGCAGTTGTTCTGTAATAAAAAATAATATTTAGTTGTCGATTTTAATATTCTGTCTAAAAAAACACGCTTATTTTCAAAGCGTTAAAGCTGCCAAAGTTGAGAACGCTAGGTGTCGCTGAAGTCGAGTACATAGCCAATAAAAGAAAATGTAATGTACATATACTATCAAACAAAATTAAGAGTGAGAACAAAATTTGATCGAAAATTTTAACTTTCTCTAAAATCAGATATAATGTGGAGATGCAAATCTTGCATTTATTTTTTACCAAAAAATGAAAAACCCTCAAGGCGAGTAGTATTTTTTTTTATCTTAAATGCGGTTTTTGTCAATATTCAAAACGATTACAATTTTTAAATAGAATAGTATTTGAATGACCCAAGACGTTTTTGTGATTGCTGCGTAGCGAAATATAATTAGAACGCTATTTCAAATAATTATCTAGTCATTTAAAATAAATATAACCTATTCAGTAGTATTTTATTATTATTGTTATCAAGATTATCATGTACATATCAAATTTTGGAATGCCTACGCAACCTATCTGTTCCATAACTTATCATTGTACCATGTGTTTGGCGATTTAAGCAAATAAATCAAATTTACCTAACCCAGCGAACGCGCACTGGTACCAAACAACTCAGTACCCATATAAAAATAATTCATGTCACCAATTTATAAGATTTTATTAATACTGAAATATTTGTATGTTTTATTTATTTACTATTTCATTCATAATAAAACAAAGGCGGAGTTAATTATTTTATACTTTGTGACTTGTTTGAAAGTTTATTTATTCTATATAAATAACAGAAGTGTCGATAATATGATTTGGTACACGACTATTAGTTATTTGTGTTACCAATTCATGTAATAACTACAGTTTGTCTGTGATTTATTTGTAAAATTTATAAATAAATAAAACAATATGAATAATATAAAGGCAAATTAATCTTAAGGTAATTAATTTTTCCTACCATAATATTTCAAATAACATTTAAATATATCTTTATTGGACTCGATTACCCGTTGATTTATTAGTATGCGTTAATGCGTTTACGAAAAATAAATAAAATTTCTGCAATTTAACCATCACTTATTACTTGAGTTTAATACATAATAACTTATATGTCAGTTGCTCTTACGATATATCACAAATACGGAAGAGATTGCTGTTTAGTAATAAAGTCAACTTTTGTATACTCTCACCTAATTCCTCAAACTTTTTGATGACTTAAAGTTTAAATAAATGTTCTTAATTTCAAAATTTGTATGTCGCTTTATACTACTGTCAATTTTAATGGTTATTTATGTAACTGGGTATCTCCTAAACTGTGTTTTGAGTGGAATAATTAGTATTAATATTATTTATAAAGCGACATCTGCATTTAAACCATTGTCCTGATCGGTATGACCAGCGAGTGTTATATTTTTATAACATGAAATAAGGTTATTACGAATGAACTGGCCACAGTATTATAAATCAATCTTGGTCGGAAATAAGACTGGGGTTATCATATCGCAATTGAGTATCGTCCTGTGAAAATATATCCTCAAATAATCAATGTTCCATAGAAATTCATTAATACTGCACGGTCGCAATAACGTGCGGATTCGATTACTAAAGGCCCGACGCCTCGTCCACGTCGACGGCGTCTGATTTATACTTGACAAGCCACCGAGGGTCCCGTCCTCCACTAAAACAGATCTGACGACGGTGTATCGACAAATGCCCTAACATTGTACCAGGGGTGTCCTCGAAACGGTAAAATTATTACTGTTTTACCACAAAGCTTATGAAGGTTTAAATTTATTTCATTTTAGTTAAGGTACGGTGAATATTCAAAAAGACTGTATATTTACTTTGAAATTTCTCATTGATATTTGGTGGGTAATGTTAACAATACGCTAGACGATCGGTTAAAAATTTTGTATTATTATTACCATATATAAATATCTAATGATGTAATAACTATCTAATAACTTTTCTATATTGACTCGGGTCTGGGTGTTGTGGTACCTTCGTTGTCTCAGATACTCCATAATACGGGGGCTTTAGCTACTCATCTTGGAATCTGAGCAATGTATGTGATGTTGTTAAATATTTATTTATTTATATACTATCAACTTGCAGTAATATAATAATATAAGGTAGCTTATACACCGGACAATAGTTAGAACCTCACTGAACCCGGAAAGCAATGTCAGGAAACTATTCTAAGGATTCACCTATGAATAACAAGAGGATCGGGACATAACAATGCAGTGGCATTTAGGTGTGTCTGTTGAATCGGGCATCTCCGAATGCATTTGATGTTAAGACAATAGATCATTCAATAGGGATACTGGTAATTACGTAGCTTGGTGGCAAGCTTTGGTGACACCAGGGATGGATATTATGATATCAACTTGCGAGTAACTATTCCTCCTGCCGCTCTTGTTTGTGAAATCGAACTTAATGTTGGAGCTTAACCTTCACAATCACGCCAGATGGCGACCAATGGAATGATAATTCTCTCTATTTTAATCACAATCCTCACATGTATCCTCAGATTTTTTAATGTCTGTTTTTCTTTCTTTTACTTTATTTGCGTGCATTTTGTCATTATTTTTTTAAATCGTTTTGAATTTCACTGTTCCTTAGCTTCACTGTCATGTGTTTGTCTGCTGTGCAATATTTTCTTGGGCAACCCTGCGAAGAGGCAAGCACGTCGACCGTTGGCGGACGCTTATCGCGTCGCAGCCAAGT